AAAAAAAAAAAAAATCATGTGTAATGCGTTCTGGAGGCATGCAGTCACCCCAGTGCTTAATAATTCATTGTCTCTGAAGTTCTAGACATTCCACAAACCTCTACGAGAACAGCTGTGACTGTTCCTATCCAGAGAGTGGGCTTTGCTGAGTAAATTAAGGACAGGGTTGAAAGTAAGCAGAACTGGGTTCAGTCCTTTATGAATTCTGCTGACCTGCTGTGTGGACAGCAGCTAAAACGGTCTTAGGCAAACCATATATCCTTCCTCTACAAGAGGGCTTAGGATTTTCTTGTCTTTCAAAGAGTCCATGTAACGGGATTGATTAGTTACCCTGCTTAACTGTTACTTCACTTCCTGGATTTATTTTGGACAATCCCAAATAGTGCTCTTCAAAACAATTTTTCTCTCAAGGAGCCTTGCCCTAGGTAGGATGGACATTAGTCAGTCCTTACCTTTGGCCTCTGAACTGGGGAACGTTCCTGGCCTGCTTTTACTTAGCAGTATAGATATAGCCAGAGAAGCTATAATCAACAGATCTTTATAAAGACTTATTCAAAATAATATTGCCTGAGGGACAGGATGCCATCCAGAGGGACCTGGACAAGCTCGAGAAGTGGGCCCGTGTGAACCTTATGAGGTTCAACAAGGCCAAGTGCAGGGTCCTGCACCTGGGTCGGGGCACCCCCCGGTATCAATACAGGCTGGGGGATGAAGGGATTGAGAGCAGCCCTGCCGAGAAGGACTTGGGGGGACTGGGGGATGGAAAGCTGGACGTGAGCCGTCAATGTGCGCGGGCAGCCCAGAAGGCCAACTGTAGCCGGGGCTGCATCAAAAGCAGCGTGGCCAGCAGGTCAAGGGCGGGGATTCTGCCCCTCTACCCTGCTCTGGTGAGACCCCACCTGCAGTACTGTGTCCAGCTCTGGGGCCCTCAGCACAGGAAAGACACGGACCTGTTGGAGCGGGTCCAGAGGAGGCCACGAAAATGATCAAGGGGATGGAACACCTCTGCTATGAGGAAAGGCTGAGAGAGTTGGGGTTATTCAGATTCAGCCTGGAGAGAGAAGGCTCCAAGGAGACCTTATTGTGGCCTATAAGTACTTAAAAGAGGGCTTATAAGAAAGATGAGGACAAGTTTTTTAGCAGGGCCTGTTGAGACAGGACAAGGGGTAATGGTTTTAAACTAAAAGAGAGCAGATTTAGACTAGCTATAAGGAAGAAATTTTTTATAGTGAGGGTGGTGAAACACTGGCACAGGTTGCCCAGAGAGGTGGTAGATGCCCCGTCCCTGGGAGCATTCAAGGTCAGGTTGGACGGGGCTCTGAGCAACCTGATCTAGTGGAAGGGGTCCGGGCTCACTGCAGGGTAGTTGGACTAGATGACCTTTGAAGGTCCCTTCCAACCCAAACTATTCTATGATTTTATGATTCTATAAAATGCTTATATGCTAGGTATTTATTTCTATAAATATTCATTTTCTTAATGTGTGTAGAAATTGTTGTTTACTAATCTTGCATCTGTTAGTAGATCTATGACAGCAGTTCAAAACCATATAAAAGAGGAGGGAAGCCTTGTAAATTGTTCACGGGTGGAATACAACAGGGAGATGATGGTTTCTGTAACAGCTTGCATAGGAAGATACCAAAGCACACGTGGGAAGTAAAGCATCGATTCTTTAGTACAGTGATAGCATGGAGGCAGAATGGGGTTGTAAGCACATAACCTGATAATGACCAAGTAAACCAAAACTGCAGTTCCCTGATGCAAAAGCAGGGCCCTGCTTGCCCTCTTGCAAGAAAGGCTTTTTGCAAAAGCCAGCTGTATCCAGTGCTGTTCTACTGTGCATGTTACCTTCCAACTAACTGCCTTAGAGGCTACAGAACTGATGGTATTTGCTATATAACAGAAAAGGACTGGTAAAAGATGTGAGCATTATCATTTGCATAAGTTTATGCATGAGATAGTGAAGGAAAGTATTGAGCTTAATTGTTCCAATAAAGTTAACTTTGTACTTTTTCATTGCTATTTGAGATTTAAAACCAAACAAAAAGCAGTAGTACAACCAGGTTTTAAAAAATTTTCAGTGTAGGCTTTCCATCAGAAAAATTCTCTTTCAACTTTTTTTAAATGCATGACCTAATTTAAGAAATATCAATTACTCGTGTTGGCACTATAAGGGGATTTAAATTCAGGTTTTAATTGAGTCCCAATCTGCATTAAAATTCTGTTTGCTTTTTTTTTTAATGTTTCTTGTGACTATAAAGAACCTACACAGACTTTCTTTCTGTGATGTTTTTGTAGAGTGATGACAGAGAGACAGATACAGCATCAGAAAGCAGTTATTCCCTTGGCAGAATCAAGAAGAGTCCCAGCTCTCTAACCAATCTTAGCGGCTCTTCTGGCATGGCCTCCTTATCCTCTGTATGTAAACCAAAGCCTTGTTTTAATGGCACTTTGCTTTTGCTAATCTCTTCAGTATTGTTTCGGCTCCCTTCTTATTCCTCTTATCTATCTTCCCTTGGCATCTCTGTCTCCTTCCTTTCATCTCTGTTACGTGAGAGGAATTGCATGGAATTGCCTAAAAAAAAAAAAAATTTTTTTTAAAAAATTTGGTTTTACTTTTCTTGTTTTCTAGTAATATATTGGAGCCTGTTCAGGACACCATTGTGCAGCATACTCTATAACAAAGAGATGGCTTTTACCCTAAGAGCTTACATTTGTAGCTGAAAGTAGGAATCAATTTATATAGAACAAACACTTAGAAAAGGAGAAGGGGGGATGGGGAAAAAAATAAGTGAAAGAAAGAGACACTATTGGTATGTGGGGTACGTAATTAAGTCAGTCAACTAGCTAACCAAAAGTCATTAATTTATGCAGACTTTATTGGGAAAAGGAGAATTTTGGGGAAGGATATTGAGATTTAAAAAAATTCGTACATCCTGCTCTTTCTACCTGTGTAGGGCTTAATTTTCAAGTATGTTTTGTTTAGGCATTTAATTCAGCCACAGACTTTATCACTAATCTTTTTGTTGGTATTTTCAGAAGGCCTGTTGTCCTAAGCTCTTAGGCTCTGCTTTCTGCAAGGAAGATCAGCTGAAGAGATATATAAGTAGTATTTCAAGGATCTGACCACAGGCAATCTCCAGATCTACAGCATCCTATCATTTTATTTCTTCTATCTCAATGCAATAAACACATCCAAATTTTTTGTAGAAAACTTGGCCTAACACCTTTGATTTACACATAACTTCCTTTGTTAATCTGTTTGCTGAGAAGCTTGTATAATAGTGTCCATTACATTTCGTTATTACATCTAAAGGGACACAGTTGATTTCTTTACTGTCTGAATTCTGAGCATAACTTCTACCCTAATTTGAAGTATCTGGTGAAATGCAATGCCTGGAAAATTTTTCTCTTCTTGTATGATACAGGTGAGCGGAAGTCTAATGAGCATCTATAGTGCAGACTTTGGCAATGTTGATGTGAAGGGGAACATTCAGTTTGCTCTTGATTATGTAGAACAGCTGAATGAGCTCCACATTTTTATTTGCCAATGTAAAGACTTGGCAGTGGCAGATGTTAAGCGACAGCGTTCAGACCCGTAAGTATGAACAGAGTAATTTTTTTCCTAATGGAAGTTTTTCTTTTAACTTGTAAATGAAAACTGATCTTTTTCCAATCACTATAACCTGTTGGAGTAAACAACCAAATAAATAAATGAAGAAGGTATAATGTGCTTTACATGGTTTTCTACTCTGAACTGAATATAGAATTGCCACTACAAAATGGTACATATATTAACATGGGAAGATCAAACTTATAAGAATATGAAACTCTCTTTTAAAATTCAACTTTCCAGATGGTAAATCCTGCTTTGATAGGTTTTCAATAGGTTTAGAGCCTATAAATATGATATCTAGGCATACTATAGTTAAATATTCTGTATTTGTATGTATTGAGGAGACATTTCAACAGATTCCCCCCTGGTAGAAGGAGGTTAATGTCCCACTTTGGAAACTATTGTTATACTTCACCACTGCTGTTCCATTTCTTAAATGTAACAAGTTTAACAACATAATGGATAGTTAAGTGGATTTCTTTTACTTAATAAGAAAATACTTGTGTATTTTGGAAGGGGAAGTTGGAAAGGGTGGGTTTTCTGCTCTTCTAACCAGCCTGTCTAAATTTTAGGTATGTAAAGACCTACTTGCTTCCAGAGAAATACAAGCTGGGCAAACGGAAGACCTCTGTGAAAAAGAAAACTTTTAATCCAGTCTATAATGAAATACTGCGGGTATTTATCAAACTATTACTAGACATGAAGTACTGCATGCATGAAGTATGAAGAACCTTAACTTTTAGGCACAGGTCCATATGCTCTCAAAAGAGACGTCTGTGTTAGGATGAGATGGATTGCTCCGTAGAAGTATCTGTGTCCTTCCATTGATAGGTTAACTCCACAGTGTACTCTGGATACAGCATTGAGAACACTGTTGTATACTTCTTGCAAACAAACACAAGCTAAGTATGAGCTTAAGATGCTTGAAATGAAAACTAAAACATGAAGGGAGTTTTGTTCTGAAACGAAGAAGTGAGCAGTTACAGATATATAAGCCCAGACATGTTTTTCTCTAATCTTGTCACTTTCAGACACAGCACTGATGAAAATCCAGCTTGTTTTAACTTTTTTTTCTCATTTCTTCCTCCTGGCAGTATAAAATTGAGAAGGGTGTCCTAAAGAACCAAAGCCTTAATATCTCTGTCTGGCACAACGATACCTTTGGGAGGAATAGCTTCCTTGGTGAAGTGGAGCTGGATTTAGGAACTTGGGACTGGAATGATAAATCCAACAAGCAGATCAACTGGTTTCCACTCAAGCCAAGGGTAGGTTACTAAGGGCGGGTTAGCTGTTTTGTATTTTCCGCTGTGTAAGTGCAAAACCAGATCATTTATTTAGGCCTGGTCTTGTGTTCTCTGTGGTTTTTGTGTTGATTATAATCATAAATACCTCTTTACTTGTAAATAGAACATACATTCTGAGGTTTCTATTAGTCTAGTAAGTAGCTAGCTATTATAGTAGGAGAAACTTTCTCATAGTCTAAAGAGTAGGAATTTCAAGGTATTTTTCACTTAGTTATGTTGCTGCAATGGATACCTGAAGATACTTGTTCCCTGAATATGAAGTAAACCTACTGAGAATATGGAGTAAGTACAGCAACATTGTAGTATCAGATGTAATGATGACTTCCATGTCTGTATGCCTCTTGTTTGTTAATGGGTTTCAGCCAAAATCTAAACTTCTAGTTAAGCCACTGCCAGAGGTTCTGGTTTCTTTTGTTGTTTTGTTTTTTCTCTTTTTTTTTCCTTGAACTTACTTCATTAGTTCATTCCAAAATTAGCTCAATCCAAAGTTTTAAAATTTGTAGAACAAAACAGGAATGTCACGGTAGTCTTTAGCACTAGTTTAATTCGACTTATTTTAAAACTGCTCTGGGTAGATAAATGTAACCAAATGTTAACAGGTGCCATGTTCCATCTACAAATGGTCCATGACTCTCTATGAAGAAGGGACATATTCTTGTGCCTTTTTGCAAGATAACTCTTGTTGAGGCTGTTTTTTAGATCAAAACATGCCTACAGAAATGAGTTTATTAAAGTACACTTTGTTGCACAAAAACGAAGTTTTCTGATTGAAAGAGCGTATTGTTCTAGTTTTAAATAAGTGCACAACAGTGAAAATATGTGCCCTCAAAGCCTTTTGGCCTCTCCTGGGTCTTGTTTTCCACTTTAGTGGAAGAGCTATATATCTGAGGCACTGTCAAGTGGTTAAACATGCCCTAAAATCTCTCATGTCACATAAACTGAAGGAAGACTAACAGATAAGGAAACAAGAAAAAAAAAAACTTGCCTCATGTAGAAATCAGTGGATTTCCACTTGTTCCAGTGGAAAACTTTGCATGCAAAAATCTGTGTGTGAACTGCAAGGTTTGAGATTTGTGTTTTGTTTTTTTTTTTCTTTCTTAAACTTCAGACTACAACAATGGCTCTTGAACTAGAAAACAGAGGGGAGATGAAACTAGCTCTCCAGTATGTCCCACACCCTGTTGGAGGTATGCATTGCTTCTTCATTTGGGCTTGTCGGGCCTTCGGGGGTTTTGTTCTCCTTTTTTCAGCCAATTCAGACATCTTGTTTTAACATAAAAGTAGAAATTTTTTTCTAGCGGATTAAGTCACCCTGGTCATGAACTTAGTTTAGGATCCAAAGATCACTTTAGGATCTTTTGTTGTTTTTAATGTTACTACAGAAGAAATTAACTCATTGTTATAATATATAATACAGACCACATTCTGTTTTCTCACTAATAATTTTAGAGATTATAAATCATCAGGCAGGTACTGTGATATGCTAAATAAACAATGACAACACACTAAATTAAAGCAATATTAGAAGTAGAAAATAGCAATAAGTATTTAGAATGCAGCAATTTATAGCAGTGTGATCTGTTTGGTTTAATCTTGTCTGGCAACTGATAACTGGCTGATCTGACAGTGAAGCCAGGTCAGGTCTTTAATCCAGCCAGTCAGTCAAAAAGAATCAAATATATTAAGAGCACTGTCATGGTTTAACTTGGCAGGCAGCCAAACCCCACGCAGCCACTTGCTCACTCCCCGCCCCCCCTCCCCCAGTGGGACAGGGAGACAATCGGAGGGGCAAGAGTGAAAAACTTGTGGGCTGAGATAAAGGCAGTTTAATAGAACAGAAAAGGAAAGGAAAGGAAAAAAAAAAGATAATGACAGAATGTACAAAATGAGTGATGCACAATGCACCACCTGTGCTGACCAATAACCATGTAGTGATCACTGCTTCCTGGACCACACCTCTTACTAATATACTGAGCATGAGGTCGTATGGTATGGAATACCCTGTTGGCCAGCTGGGCCAGCTGTCCCGGCTATGCTCCCTCCCAGCCTCTCATGGGCTTGGCAGAGCATGGAAGCTGAATGTCCTTGACTAGCAAGGTACTTAGCAACAATTAAAATCATCAGTGTGTTATCAACATTCTTCTCATACTAAATCCAAAACACAGCACTAGGATGAAATTTAACTCTATCCCAGCTGAAACCAGGACAAGCACAAAGGAGCTTATTTGAAAGTACAAGTGGCAATAAATGCTAACATCACATAGACTGAAGACAAGCTGATCTCTTTACATAGGAGGCTTGGAAAGAGAAGACCAGTAGCATGTATTTGTTTAGTTGTAACGGAAGAAAAGTCATTGTAGGAATACAGACATGATGTGATCTTGCAGTACTTTGATGGGATGAAGACTGCAGCTTCAAGAGTACAGAGAGGGATGTTGAATTAAGATGTGAGATAATGAGAGTCTAGGCCGAATATCACCTTTACAAATGACAAGGAACTGCTGCATCATAGAAACTACCTTTAAAAGGGATCTACAAGGCTTAATGAGATGTTTTATTTTTACAGGAAAGAAGACTGTATCTACTGGTGAGGTCCACATCTGGGTGAAGGAATGCCATGACCTTCCTCTTCTGAGAGGCAACAGGCTCAACTCTTTTATTAAGTGGTAAGAACTGTGGTTGAAGTCAACAAACATGGTGGCCTAATAATGCTACTGTTGTGCTTTCCAATCTTATCTTCATTTTTTCTACATTCAAATTAACAAACACCAAATTATTTTCTGATTCTCCTTTATTGTAATGCAAATTGTCCTGCAGGGCTTACAACTTCAAGATGTTAAGTATATACCACCAAGTAAAACACACTGGGAGAACTTCCTGTGTAATCGCTACTCTTTCATTTTGTGTGCTCAGTTACTTGATGTAAGGGCTAGTCAAAATTGTGCCTGCTTTTATTTGCATTTAAACATAGCGTGTTTGTGCAGGACTATGGTTTATCTTAACAAATCGTGGGAGGAGACAGAAGTGAGAAGCATAGTTGTATTTCTTCCTCCTTCCTTTCCACTTGCAGACTAAAAATGTAAAGAGACAAGAATAACAAGACAGTTGGGAAATCTCTGGCAGCAACAAAAAGGTTTCAGCGTCATTAGTGATAATACAGCAAATAAACTCACTTGTGCCTCTTCCTCACCTGACTACCCCTTCCCTTCCATCCTCTGAAGCACAAGGGTGCTGCCAGTATTTCTTGGAAGGGACTGAGAATATGACCTTTGACTTCATCTCCATGATGCTAAAGCATCTTATCTTCACTCACATTCTAACATGCAAAGGACAGTCTTAATCAGTAGGTTTTGTCTATTCAGTATGTTTAATGCAGGCTACGCTGTGCAAGTGCAAACTGACAATGCTTTTTCTTTCTGAAGTACCATTCTTCCAGACACTAGCAGAAAAAGTCGCCAGAAAACAAGAACAGTAGCAAAAACTACAAACCCAGTATTCAACCACACCATGGTCTACGATGGCTTTAGGCCAGAAGACTTGAAAGAAGCCTGCATAGAACTCACAGTCTGGGATCACAACAAACTAGCCAACCACTTTCTGGGAGGCCTCAGGATAGGCCTTGGAACAGGTACTGGACAAATAGCACATTAATCCTTAATTTAGAAAATACAGTTTTTCCTTTTTTCCTCTTCCTTTCCATTTCTTCTCTTTTTGCAAAGATCACTGAACAGTCTTTCAGTTATGTATTTGCTAAGAGTTTCATTCAGTAACTTACCTATTCTTCAGCACAGATCCTGAAATGTAAATAATAGTAATGTTATGAGGGTTAGGATGACTGACGAGTAAGGAGAAATACTAGAAATAAACCTTTGTCTGGCCATATATTGTATCTGGTACTGTTTGAAGTACAAGAATATGCTATTCCTGCACCCAAAAAACTTGATAATGTCTTACAAACTTATGCATGCAAAAACTAGGCATGTGGTGTAAAGACAGTATTGGGTGGAGATAAAAGGATAGATCAGGAATGCATGATAACATTTGAAGGCATTGGATAGGGAAACTTACAAATGCAAACAAGTTTTTAGCATAAAGGCAATATGAGATGTGCAGATAGAGGAATTGTATGTTTCCCTATCATTATATTTGTCCCTTTCATTGTCCTTTCTGGTCTGAGGGGAGGATGTGTTTAGAGTCTTTTCAAGCAAGTACAAGAAAAAATTACTTTTCCCAAATTAACTTCTTGAATGGTTCACCAGAATAACCTAAAATACAAATTAGGATAGTAAATCTCAGTTTGAATTTTAGAGTACCCAAGGTTGTATTTCAGTACAAAATCAGTGTGCTGTTTTATTCTTAAACCCTCTCAGATGTTAATCGCCCATACATCTTTCTCCTTGGGACTGTGACATAAAGAATAAGGATAACAAGGGAAAAAAGCCTGGAGAAAGATGACAAAGTTTCCGTGTGAAACTGTCGTTAATTGTATTTGACAGAATTGTTCAAGTGTAAAAATGTAGAACTGGATCTTCAAAGTACTAGGTCAGCTGAGGAGGTGAAACTGTTTTAGAAGACAGGCGAATTTGATTGTCTGCTGTCAACTCTGCAGCATATTAAGTAATGTTTCTCTTAAACTGACATTTTTCTAGGCAAAAGCTATGGAACTACAGTAGACTGGATGGATTCTACTTCAGATGAAACTGCCCTTTGGGAGAAGATGATGAACTCACCGAACACATGGATAGAAGATACACTACCTCTCAGGATGCTAATGGTTGCAAAATTGACAAAATAAAGTGGCTTTTTAATTGCTAGTGTCAAAAAGAAACCTTGGGAATGAAACTAAAGGTGTGGGGGTGAAACTTGGAAGAGGAATACAGTATCTCTTTTCACGGTCTCTGCTTCGTTGCTGTTTTGGTTTCATGCTGTCAAATGTCACTTCATATTTCAAATTAAACTTCTGCCTGCAGATTTTTATGTAAATTTAAGGGATTCTTTTATTTCTTTTTCCCTGAAAATGACTTCAAGAAAGAAGGCACTTACAGAATTCACTGGCAGAGCTAGCTGTGATACCTGGATGCTCGTGTTGCCTAACTGGAGCATTGCTGATCCCTTAATCTAAATTACTAACAAAAAAATAAGAGCAAGTCAACTCTTTCTGTATGCTTCTAGGATTGTTCATGAAGTGTTATTAGTAAGATAGAAATAGGTTGCATTTTGTTCATGCTCATTAGTATGTGTCTGTATCCTCATTATGCCATGTCTGATCTCTCCAGCGAGGCATATGAGCATGAAGAATTTTTTTTAAAGTTCCTTTATCTGTAGTTGTACATTTCTAGGATATGAAAGTCGCTTCTATAATGAAAGCATTACTTGAAGTGGTACTGTCGATGTCGTGTTCTGCAAGGCGCAGAATGTACTATCAAAAATCAGGGTTATAAAAAGTTTGCTTATATATGCATTAATTTTCTCGCTAACATACATACCTTACTCTTAAGTGCTGAAGGCAGAGAGGTCAAACTTTTTTTCAATTCAGTGCTACTCTAAAGGATCTAAACCTGCCAATTTTAGTGATGACATATGTTGGGTGTTTATTCTGTAAAGTGTACTCATCTGTACCTGTATCTATTAGCTTGCTTTTTTGCAAAAAGTAATTTATCTGTGCTTCAGCGCCACCGTTAGGAGAATGCTGGGATTATGGTGGTCTTGGTTCAGATAGCTTTTGCGGCATAGGAAATAGGACTGGAGTTTGTAACTTGTAGAAATGCACGCTACTAAAGACAGATAAATGCATAAAATACAAAATGTATTATTTCTTTTTTTTTTAATAAAAGTAGCCTATTAAAGCTAAATAGGAATTCAGCGTTTATTAAAATGCAGTGTTTTATGTTAGCACTTCAGCATGCAATATAACAAAATGCAGACGGAAAACATTCTGAAAATAAATGCACATTTATTTGCTCCAACTGTGTAGGTCTAAAAGCTGGTGAAACCTTGCACCTCAGTTAGAGAGGAGAAAGGGGCTCTTCACAGTTCCAACTCAATTGCTTAATTTAATCATAGAAATTTAAATGCTACTTGGTATTTATTGTAGATTATGAATGGAAAAAAGGAAAGGTGCTATTCAACCTGCTGGGAACCCACTTTCTCTTTCATCAACCAGACAGTCTGTGGAGTTTACAAATGTGAAAAGTAGTTGTCAGTCTTGATATCTTACTGCTTCAGGTGAAGAGGCAAGTTTATTTGTATTCACTGCCTACATGAATTTATTTTCACCTGAAAAAGTAAGTTGCTGTGAACATGACCTACAATTTCACAGAATTAAAGTTTTTGTTGTTGTGTTTCCTGTGAAGCCTGAATGCATTGCTATGTCAAAATAGCTTTGGGACTTCAGCTGTAGAGATGGGGTCTTGAGGCTCTAGATTTGCAGGCAAGTGTCATATAATCTGCTGTGTTCTATACTGTACAAAATTTTGATAGCTAAACTTGACAACCATCAAAATGTTTGGTTTGTGTCTTTTGGTTGAGTAGAACATCTTCTGCCTCACTATTCTTGAACCATCCTAGAGACAGACACAGCATTTTGTCATTATCTCAAATGATGCAGCTTACCACTACACTAAATAGATCAAAACTCAGTTTAAATTTCGAAAAGCTACCTGAACATGAACATAAGATTTACTTGTGCACTCCACTGGTAATTAGTGTGATTAACTAATGACACAGCAGTATTATGTACTCATCCAGATTAATCAAGAAACTGAGCCAAGCAACAGAAAGGGGCCCTTCAGTACAAAAATTCAGTGTTCCTCCCCAGTTTTTAATACCTTTTTTTCAGCATGTGCAGAAAATGGAGTCTATTATAGGTAAACCTGTAAGGATAGTTGTCACCACACACAACAGTGAGTGGTCCTCGTGCTTCCAAATTTACAGGAGGTCAGCAGAGGCAGTCAGAGCAGTGTCTTTAAAAAGTATAGTAGCGCTTAACAAAGCTGGATATTTTAAAGTTATTGTTATCATTGTTAGTCTGCCATGGAGTCTGCATCAAGCTATAGATCTTTTAAGTTAAAGATTTTCAGCAGAGCGTTAGCAGCTATGCTTATCTTTTTACTGTTTTACCATTGTCACACACAAGAAAAGTCAAAGCCATCCTGGTGAGATGAACTTCAGTAGAAGGGAAGATTACAAACCAAGCTGCTTTATCAGTGGAAAAAGTACTTTGATTACCCTATGCATGATGTAGGATTTAATTACAGAGTAGAAACAGTACAATTTCACCTCCTGCTAAAGGATATTATGTTGATTTCTTAAAAGGTGCTTGAAGGTAATGGCTATGTCTAATCATGTAAACCAGCAGGAAAACTGAAAATATCTAACTGAAGTAATGCAAAATTTACTTTTTAAAAAAGATAATTGGTATTTTTTGACATTCCTCTGAATGTGGTTCACACAATAAATGCAGCTTTCCACCAAATTCGTAGTCATTCCTAACTACAGTAGTATGTTCCAGATCGATAACATGCTGATAGAGAAAGGCAAGTTTATGAAGTTGATTAGGACAAAGTTTCAAGAAACTAGTTTCTTTGCTCTATAATCAAAAGGAAAGGTTTTAGTCATCCGTAACCAAAACTTTAAAGGTGTATAGTTAGTTACTCACTAAAGGGCAGTTTGATGAATTAATAGCTATGCTTTGATTGTTAATTCCAGTTCACCTTTATGACAAAGCAGCCACACTCCTAGAATGTCTTTGCATATATCCATCCTTGCCCATAGAAACGAATGGGAGAAACACAACACTTTTCCTTTTTTTTTTTTTTTTTCCCCCCCTTCACTTTGCAAGCTCATCGTTGCTTTAGCCTGGAATGGGGACTTTTTTGGTACACATTTATGTATGTGCATATATACGTATGTGTATGTGTTCTAAATTACACCATCTTTACTTCCTATAACCCAGGCTTCAATGTCCCAGCTCTCCTTTCATGCTCTGTGTTCAGAAACCTCCCATTTCTGCAAGTCAGCCTGCAAACCTGAGTTGGTGCGGCAACCCAGTTCACTTTGATTTTACCTGTTTTGAAAGATCTGGTACTGCACCCTCCTTGTCTTGTTCGCTTCATATCCTTTACCCACATCACTCGCTCCTCTTTGCTTCATATCCTTTTCCAGTGGAGTCAGCAAAACCTGCACCTGACTTTTTCCTTCCAGCTGCATTTTTTTTCCCTTCCCTATCCTATCTGCCAGATTTTTCATTAACTGCTAGATAAAGGTGCAAGTTGTTTAGGGCAAGGGTTGTGTCTTTACTTACCATGGACCTTCAGCATGTTCTGAGGTCAGAGCCTGCTATTCTGAACTCCTCTGGCACACGCAGGGCACAAGCCAAGAGAGAGTTCTTCTTCAGACTTGTGGAAATCTTCTTCCCTTTACCAAATCTGGGTACTTTCAAGAGTTATCAACAGCGTTCGTTTGCGAGGAAACGCTCCCAGCAGTTTCAGCCACTCTCGTGGGGCTGGCCCAGTTCCAACCAGCCCGGATGAAGGCACGAGCTCTGGGGTGACTGGATTCAGCTTCTTATCTCCATGGAGACAGAAACCCCGCAGCAGAAGTGGCAACAAACGGTCAAGGGAAAGAAAACACCTGGTAAGAAAACATTTTTCTCCTCTTAAACCCTGCTCTTCATTGTGTTTCCACTGGATGGCCTAAGCCTTTTGGTCCTTCCCCCTCTCCTCTGTAATTTCCAAATGTTTTGGCAGGATCCAAGGTAGCAGCAGCAGCAGGGGAGCGCAGGACCGCGGCGACAGAGGTGGCGTCCCTACCGACGGTCGCCGCTATGCAGCTCTGAAACTGTCCGTGCTTCACAGGCGTTGATTCACTTTTGCTGTACATTATTTTTCATCCTTCCTTTAAGCTGGCTCCTTCCCATGTCCTATCTCTACCTCCAGTCAAAGCCCAGGAATTCACAAAACCTGATTATCAGCATGCTACTCCATGTGCTGTGTAGTTTCAGCTCTGTGTCTGAATGAAAAACTCATAGATCGGTTTTAGGCTGACTTTTCATACGTCTGGGTAGCATGCTGTATGATTAGGCACCAATAATGATTTTGGTGCCAATGTAATATAAATATTTCCCTTATTTTTACATGAGGAACCAGACTTTTAAAATTACATGCCTAAAATAATCTAGAAAATCAATGTCAAAACTCAAACAATGAACCATTTCTCCAGGTACAAAGTCTTTGTATCGCAGGGCATTCAGTAATTACTAGCATTGTATAGATCTTTTATTCATAAATCTCTAAGTACGAGATAAGGCTATTCAGTTACTTTTAATGAGCAATATACTATTACAATCTTGTAAATCAGTTAGAATTTTGATGTAACCCTCCATGTTTTACTTGCATTTATAATACCAGATCTGTAGGAGAAAATAAAGGGGGAGGAAAAGGATTGCTTTAGGAATTATTTACAGCTTTATTACTTGCAAGCTTTTTACCTAAATAGAATAGCTACTTCTTGTAGCTACAACAACAGTGCTTTGAGAAGGAATAATTAGCAAAGCTAGTAATCAGCAAATGAATAGGGTTGCGTAAATACTAAGCCTACATTTTTTGCTTCTGCATTCTCTGGACTTCAGAGGAACTCCACCAGCTTATCGCAGTGGTGTTGGCCACATAACCATTGGGTACTGTTTAATTATGCTGAATGTCACTAAGAGAAGCAGTCACTATAAAATTTTGTGTCATCTTTGTGTGAGACAGGGGCTCCATGGCTCAGGATGAGAGAGAGGCAGAGATAGCCAACTCCACGAGTGATCCAGAGTCGGGCAAAGACACGGAAGATCTGACAAAAGGCCTGGAGGAACTCCGTGAGAGCCCTGAAGAGGAGAAGAGTGAGAAGGCTCTGCTGCATTCACGCCTAGAACAACAGCATCGCCTTATCTGTATACTGAAGAAAAAAGCAGATGATGCACGCAAACGCTGCAAGAGCCTGGAGCACCTCAACATGGAGCTGGAGAAACTGAGGACAGAGGATGCTGTGAAAATGAAAACCCAGACCCAACGGATTCAGCATTTGGAGGGGTGCTTCATGGATACGGCCAACAACCATGAAAAAATGATCCAGTTCAAGGATGAACACAAGAAACGGCATATGCAGCTGTGGGAGGAGAATAAGCGCCTGCAGGAGAACAAGACGCTCAGAGGGAGAAGGAAGCTGAAGTGCTCCAGCTCGCTGCCCAGGCCAGAAAGCTCTCGCAGCAGTTAGCCTCCTTAGAGGAGACGTGTGCTTACGAGAGTCGCAGAGCCCAGGAGCGAGAAAAGGAGCTGCTAGAAGCTCAGAGACAGCAAGAAAGTGCCTATGCCTGGGAAGTCGATTCACTAAAAAAACAGCTGCAACGCCTACAGGAGAAGCATCAACAAACTGTTGCACAGGTAGAGCAGGCAGAAAGTCAGCAGAGGGCTCAGGGCAGCGAGCTGCAGGCCAAGCTGGAGAGGGCAAACAAGGAGAAAGAGCGACTACTGAACCTGGCCATGGAGAGGGGCAAAGCTCTGCAAGAGAAGGAACGGGAAATTCAGCAGCTGGGGAAGAAGCTGGAGACTGCAGAAAAAGCCAGGCAGAGAGCAGGAAAGCGCCTTGTGAAAGAGGCAGCAGCAGGGGACAATGACCTGAAGGTCCAAGAGCTCCAACAACAGCTCGAAAGCAGCAAGCAGGCATACAGCGAACTCTTGCTGCAGTTTGATGCTTACAGAAAGCACAGCACAGATTTACTGACTAAAGAAAAAGCGCTGAATGTCAAACTCCGTCATTTTATTGCGTAACTGCACCTTTCTCCTCTGTTCTTGTCTCGGCAGGTGCCTCTACTGCAACACACCACTGCATTTTGTTCCTTTCCATGAGACCATCTTCTGATTTCTATGTAATGTACTTACCAGTTTAAATCCTCCTACAAGGACTGTTCCGCAGCCTTTTCTTTTGTTACACTTTTACATAAGTAAGAGCTCTACACTGTTAAACCTGAGCGGGGATTGTTGAACTAGTCAAACCTGTGACAAGAAAGATTAGGGTGGAAAATGTCAAATATGAATTTGATTTATTTGGTCCTAACCTCTGCTGTATCATAGATTTTCATTTTTTACAGTTAAAAGCACATTATTTTCCAAGGTGGACCAAAGCTCAAACCCTTAGCCTTTTGCATTTGATTCTCCCTTGAAGTTCAACAGAGGTTGGGCAGGTAAGAGGTAAGCCTGAGGCTCCAAGAAAGAAATCCCATCTTGCAATGTCTACGTCATAAAGTCATGATTCAGCAACTTAACAGGTCAAAAGAGTAGTATCATGCACCACCTGATGCTCAAACAGGTGATTATGTATAGCAGTGATGCACAAAATGGAAGGGTGTATGTCTGGCAATTTTTGACAAAAAAAGTCTTTCCCTTTCCTGTCAGCACTGTGGGATACGGAGGCATCCTACTCTCTCTCGCCTCTTGCCCAGCCGAGGAGGAGGTTTTTGGCTGCTGAGTTTCAGCTCCTGCTCTTTAGCTCTCCAACAAAAACCCCATGATGGGCCCAATGGCATCCCCCACCTGAGCTATGGGCATCTTCCTCGAGAGCTCTCCAAGTTCATTCCCACCCCTTGGGGTGACTCAACGTTTTAGCTGGTTGTTTGTGTAGCTCTTGGTCCTGAGCTTCTACAAAGCAGTAGCACCACGTCAAACTTGGTTTCTGTTGAGCTCAGTGGCCAGAAGCAGAAGGCCTGGAGATCCTCCTGCTTGTGACCAGTTCATCTCAACTTACTGAAACAGATGTGGTTTCTAAGTAAGTGGTAGCTGCCAACAGACTTATCTTCTGAACCTCTCTGGACTCTCCTTGAACCCACACAAAGCCAGGTGAGAAGTATTGCTCCAATACCTGCTGCACGATGAGTCACAGCCTTTCGTTTTGATCCTAGCTCCTGCAAGTGTCTTTCCACACCTGTTTTACAAACCACATCCTCCTACTTTTCAACCATCTTTTTCCCTCTGATGTGCCCACCCCACATGCACGTTTAATTAATCTAAGTGTGGGCATCTACAGTGTAAACACCAACTGACCCAGGCTACGAACTAGGCCCATGGTCTGAGAGGAAAGAACACAGCAGGACTGGAGTCAGCTGCTCTATTTTAATTAGTCGATATGCAGCGAGGAGTGCCTGTTTCCCTCCGGTGACTGCAAGAGAGCCTAAAAACAGGTACCCAAATAGTCTAAATCTGGGCAGGGGACACCCACTCGCTGTGTGACAGAACAGCCCCACATGCCTCTGGCCCAGCCCCTGCCACAGTCTGGCGGGAAAGCCCCCAAAACACTGCTGCCCCTGGGGGACATCCCCCTTCCCTCCCCTCGGCAGTGTCTGTGGGTGAGAGACCCCCCTCACACACACACACCCCCCGTCATGGTTTAAGCCCAGGCGGAAGTCAGCCCCACCCAGCCGCTCAGCTCACTCCCCACAGGTGGGGTGGGGGAG